ACGGTATAGGAATTTACGAGTTGGTGGGAATGAGTCGGAGGACATCGAACTTAAATAAGAGATGCTTATAGATCTTCACGGTGGGGTTCGCAATTACCACCAGGACTGGATATATCACGCACAGAGGTGCAAAAGTGTTGTGGGAGCACTAGCGGCGGGATTTCTGACTGCTGGTCATTCTGTCCACTGCTATATTCTTGAGATTGTACCTCTTCGACTTTTAATCCAGCCGTTATTTGCGCTCTGATGAATATTAGTCGGTCATGACTTTGCTTCGTCATTTGGCTAGACTATTGTTGTGTCTACTGCAGTCAAATATCTCAGGATCTTGAATAAAAAATCCACTGATTTGGATATCAGAAGGTCGTGCCCCTAACTCGCCTCTCATAGTAAGTATGAGAACAATCGAGCCGTGAGGTATCGACTCTCCTCAGGACTTATACCGTCATGCCACCCCAAGCTGGCATTCTCCGACCAAGATAAGTACTAAGTAACGAAGGGAGGAGATCTGTGGGTTACGTTGCTACATGAGCCGGGCAACGGGGGACTCCAAACCGCGAAAACATGGGTTGAACGGGACAGAGCTAGGCTCTCAATTGTTTGCCCTTTGAACCTTAAGGTGGAGAACCCATGGTTGGTGGGTGAGCTCTGTCTCGCGCTTACCTCTGAATCAAAGCAACTCCAATAGGTCGAACTCATGACCTTCCAAATTTTTTCCACAGTCAAACTAACAATCGGACGCTCAGCCATGGGGCAAGTATTGAGCGGGATAGATATGGCTGGGAGCGTGGCCTTTTCCGTTGTCCTTTCTTTCGACCTGAGCTGTGGCATGTGATTGTCTTTTGAGCACCAACCTTACCGAGATTTAGTTTGACACCACCACAGAAGGGATTCCTCGAGATGATGCTGGGTCGGAGGGAGACGAGACAACCAAGTCTTGACATTCTGTATCCGGGATACACTGAGTAGTTGCTCAGTTGAGGGTCACTCATTCTAGCGTCTCAAGCCTCATTGAATGGAGGATACTGAGTGGTTGTGCGTGCGCGCAGAGAAGGTAGGACTTCTCGTACGCTGCGATTTTTACTCCGAGGGTGCCCCGAACTGACCCCTGTGGCGTGCGACTTGTATGCCATTTGTGGCCGGCTTCCACCTGCCCTAACCCTAACGACAATGTTTGTTGGCTCACTACCACGATCTGCCTTTGGTTTACGCTCCTCATTTTTCTCACTGTTCGTGAAGGAAGATTCAAAGATTCAGGAAAATGGCTCGTGGAAGGTGTACGACACTTTGGGATCGGGGTTGATCGGAATCAGATTTCGTGGTTTGTCTTTTGCTTTGGTTCTTGGCTCGCTACCTAATGACGATTAACCTCTTGCTAGTCATGTTGTTCACTGTTCGCAAAGGCAGAGTAAAAGCCTCGGTATGCAGAGAGTGTAATTCAAGGAGTAGACGCCGAGGTTGGGACAGATCGCGTTGGTGGGGATGGGATGTGGTGTCATTAGCTCGTACGTGTCGCGCGTCGTCTATTGCTCTGCTCTATCCTCCGTTGACGATGTTCATTATGTTTTAGATTGATAACAACCCCAGCCGAACTAATCAAGATCCGTCAACAAATGCCTTCTTCCTCATCCACTCCCGCTTCCACTTCCACCCCCCCCCCCCCCCAACAGCCAGAGAAGTAGCAATCAACATATTCAAACGAGATGGTGTCCGAGGTCTCTGCCGCAGGATCACAGCTACCACGTCACGCGATATGGGATACGGATCGTACTTTTTCGCGTACGAAGCTACATGTTGGTATCTACCCCCTCTTTGGGGGTCTATGAGAGTCAGCGTTGTCGAGAAAGGCAAGGATAGAAGGAGGAAAAGTGAGACGGGCCGGGTGGACGCGTATGTGACATGGATCGTAGAGAAGGAAGCGAAGGTGCTGGGTTGGGTACGTTGTTGGTTGCTGAGGGCGTTGCTGGGATCGGTGAGTCCCTTCTTTCTTCTGTTTTCGGGGTTGAACGTTAGGTTGACAGTGTTCGTGTGTGTGGTGTAGCTGGATGGATATTCACGTTCCCGATGGACGTAGTGAAGACGCGTGTGCAGGGTCACGATGGGGGGTATTATCTCTCTTCACCGTCGACGACGGCTGTTGGGACATCGGCACCAACGGCCATTTCGTCTTTCGGATGGCCACGGACATCATCTTTCACATCCGCAACCACAGTATCAGTATCAACGTCAATATTCTTATCCTTCAACTTCTTCATTCTCCACCCCTTCTCCGTCGCCAAAGAGACTTCTAAACCCGTACCGGACGACCCTATACACCCTCATCCACTCCTTCCGCACAGAAGGACACGCGGTGTTTTGGCTTGGGCTTGGAGCTACGTTACCGAGAGCCGTACCAGTGCATATGGCTACGTTGGAGTGTCTAAAGGTGTTGTATGGCTCGTTGCATGAACGTGGCGTGGTTGGAGACTTTGCATGCCCTACGCACATTTCTAAGACCGAGGGTTGTTTGGGCTGTTTTTTATACACCGCACCGTACACGTGTTGAGGAGGGTCGAGGTTGTCGTGCGCCCTCTACACTTTTCATACCCTCTCGTAGGACCGACGTCTGTCATTTAGCATACGACACTTCGGATCGGCATCGATTATTCCATGTATCTTGATTATCCATCATCTCGTCGTGCATTATCTTACCTACGCATCGCATAGCTACCTTGTACAAGTACAACCATGATTATATACCGCATTGAGACCTCGGTATTGATATGTACGCGCCCTCGGATTGCAAGGAAATCCTGCCCCATGGCTGAGTTGGTTACAGCGTCCGACTGTTATAGTATCCGATAAGGGAAACAGACAATCGGAAGGTCGTGAGTTCGAGCCTCACTGGGGCAGATATCTAAGGTTATCTACCCAATCTTTGTTCTCTCTTTGCGCCGCTGTGCCTTCATGATGTTCAATTTCTAGGGGACAGACGTTATTCGGAGTGCCTTAGTCGGTCGAGTGAAGGTATACGTGTCTCCTTGCGCAATGCGAAGCGCACGGGTTGTTATTTTTTCAAGTGAGGCTGCACTGAGCTGGCATATTCCATGTGCTCCCCACGCATTAAGAAAGCATCAATGGGGTAGTGGTAACCTGGGTCGTTGCCATGAGCCAGAATGGATACTGAGTTGTCTTCGACCCGCCGGGGGTTCGATTCCCTCTTGATGCATTGGTACAATTTTCTAGTACTAGTTTTTTCTCATGTGTTCTTCTTTTCCCGTTCCTTCGCCTTCGCACGTTATTGTGATTTCCAACATCTTGGCTCTCAATTAATCGTTGCAGTGGGTGTTATCGTTCAATCAGGTGGCAGGCCTCACTTCCACCGGCTTGCTCGCGTCATCGATATTAACCGCCCCCCATGAGGTATATAGGTTCAGAAGTGCTGTCTCATAGCAAAGCTGGGATGGCCGAGTCGTTAAGGCGAGTGATTTGAATCATTCTATCTTCATATCTTATCACTTGGTGTTTCACCGCGTAGGTTCAGATCCTGCTCCCAGCGATGATCTTTTTTTCTCTGATCGGGACTCGGTTGAGGGTTCAACGCCGAGCGGTATCTATCGACCTCATTCTTCCGGGGCTCGGTATTATCTACTTATTCCTCATCTTCGTTCCCGTGCATCTGGTTGTAGTTTGCGACTGACCTTGCGATTTAACCAATGGACCATGCAAAATTGGAAGCGAGCCCCACTTCAACATGAGAGTTGTAAGTTTGGGGGTTCTGGAGGGAGAGGGCGCTTTCTGTTTGGCTTTTTTAGTTCAAAAGGTCCCGTGTGGATGCCCGTTCCCCATCCACTTAAACGGTATTGCGCCCCATGGCTGAGGTTGGTTTACAGCGTCCGTTTCCGTTCATTGACACTCACACTCTCTTATAGCTTTTTGGAAGGTAGTGAGTTCGAGAGTTGTCACTTTCTTTTTTGTGGTATGAGTTCTACGACGCCTTTTGTCTGTACTTCACTATAGCTGAACTTCAATTGTCTGTGAACCTTCGACGTACTGGACTATGAGCCACGGGCTCAGCCCCACCTACTACAGCCCAACCAACCATCTTCCGACTTAATGCACCGGCTCACATTTACTCTCGAGTCCCGACGGGCGGCGTAGAACCAAAATCAAGGACGGTGAACGTGACCCTCCGAGTCCCGACTTTGGTTTGAGGCAACGAGCAGCGAAACTCATGACACTAAATTACATTGACAAGGCAATTAGTTTGGTATGAGTTTATCGATTGGAGGGTCGGGGTGAGATCATGAAACCCAAGTTTGGCAAACCGGAGAGCGAGGGGGCCGTTGATTTGAAACTTCGGTGTATGGGCAAAGCTGTTGTCCAAGCCATAGTGGACAATCACTCTTGTCCTGGTACTGAACTGTCCAATGCTTATGGTGCAGAAGAAGCTGTACCAGAGGAGAATGAGCAGGTTTCAGGCAGTATAGGACTCTCACTCAAGTGATGCTTGTGAGTTGTTACAAGAGTTTGCAAATTTGGTGCTAGATTCCGGACATCAGCAATTGGACACTGTCATGAAGTGCCGCTTTTCCCCCTATCTTTTCCTTTCTCAGCGCCTATTCCCCTTTCAGCGCTTACTTGTTTCTTTGACGCCTACCAGACGCCCGTTTCCCCTTCCCACATATTTCCTTCTCACACTATTGTCTTTTACTCCTTCTTCACGACCCATTCATTCTATTGTTCTTATTTGTCTTCTCTCATCTCCTAGTTACTCATTCCGGACTCGCTATTGTCTTATACTTGACTACTATTGTTTCCTTATTGTTTTCTTATTGTCTTTCCTATTCGTTCACGACTCATATCTCAGACCTCTGACTGGATATATAAGCTAGGTAGTTTACACCTGGTCCCTCATCTTGACCTCTTGTCGTTGGGACCAGGTGAGTAGTTATTTCTGTCTTCCTCTATCTGCAATGTATCTGACTTGTCGTTGGGACCAGTCATCTACCTGTTCTTGCTCTTTGCTCGCCATCTCTGTCCTCTCTGTCGTCGTC